GCAAGGAATTCTACGACTTTACAACTGATAAAATTAGAAAACTATTACATAGATAATTTAAATGTCTAAACTTTAAATTACTGTAAATACTAAATTGAAATAGTTAACTTTTCTATAACACTAGATTTAATGAATAATATATACCTACCTTACAAAAAGCCCAATATTAATCCTTTATATATGAACCCTAAGTCTAATCATCCTCTATCTATAATTAAGCATATACCTTCATATATTTTAATTAGAATGAGTACAAATTTAGTGGCTACAAATGCCCAAATCTCAATTATATAAAAAATGAAAATGAACACCATAAAAAATAATAGAAATAGAAAAATCATTTGGTATACATCAACATACAACCAAATGGTAAGAAATAAGTTAAGACAAACATTCCTTGCATTAATTGATAAACATTTTCCTACAGATAGTAAACTCATTACAATTTTTAATAAAAATACCCTAAAATTAAGTTACAGTTATACTGAAAACTTAAGAATAATGGTTAAGGAACATAATGCTAATATCTTGAATAAACTCTTATACCAAAATCAAAAAATAAATATATATCATAAGATAAAAAGAAATGAAGATAAAAAAAAAATATGTAAGTGTAGGAATCCTCAAACCTGTCCTCTTAATAATAAATGCCGTATTGAATCGGTAGTTTATCAATGCAATATCTCATCTATAGAAGATCCAGAGATAGTTAAATTCTACATTGGGTGCACGCGGAATGAATTCAAAAGAAAGTGGAATCAACATCAAAAGTCCTTTAATAATAATGTGTGGATGGTTCAGCACAAAAAATCAAATCTCATGTGCTGGTGTCGGGCTGTCGGTTTCCTAGGAACTGATCTGCTTGACCCTCATACGTCGAATTCGATGGGAATTTTTTATATATATATATATATTTTTATATATATATATATATATATATATATATATATATATATATGTGTGTGTGTGTGTGTGTGTGTGTGTGTATTTATTTGGTTGGTTTTGTGTGTGTGTTGAATGGATTTTTTTACACATACATTATGTTCATCGTTCGCTGGTGAAATCAGTCCCTGTCAATATTAGCACACTTTATGTTCTAATTGTCTGTCTGTATTTTTCTCCCCTCTCTCTCTTTTTCATATATATATATATATATATATATATATATATATATATATATATATATATATATATATATATATATATGTGTGTGTGTGTGTGTGTATATATATATATATATATATATATATATATATATATATAAGCATGTCTGTATTTAACGAGGATGTTGTGGTTAACATTTTTGTAGTACGTTTTAAAGCATTTGGGTATGAGCAAGAAGCGTAACGCTTACTGTCGCGGAAATGAGAACCAGCGAACCGATTTCAAATTTCTGCCTAGTCTGTTGGGATCCTTTCACGCAAATGCCCTTGGGAAAATCATGAATGTATTCCTACACCCCAACGCACACTTCAGCTTAAATAGCAGTCTCAATTAGAATGACTAAACTTGGATGGTAGCCAATCTAAATAAAGAAGAAAAAAAAGAAGAAAACTCTGAATTCCAAACCATAGAGAAGCTAATTGGAAACAACTCAGCCATCTTACTCGCGAAGTCATGACAATTCACAGATAATAAGTTAAGTGAATCAGTGGAGAGCCATGTTCGCCTACCCCCTAAAGAGACACTGAATGAAAATGAAAAATAAGAATATAAAGAAATCGAATTTTCTGCAAAACACTGACGCCTGTTCAAATCTTCACAGTATTTACTATTGGTGATTAAATTAAATTTAAAATAGGGGTAGTATTTTATATATTTAATAATAAATCATTAATTTATCAAAAGAAAAATAATGAAGATATATTGTACTAAATCACACACCCTAGTAAAACGAACTGTATTTTGTACCCTGTTACATGTTTGCACATCTTCCCAAACATTGCTTTCCATCGGTGAATATATGCGTATTTAAAGTGTGTGACGGACGGACTGACTTAAGTTACAGAATTTTATTTATATATAGTGAACCGAAAATATCCCCCCACCCCGTATAATATAATTTTCTATTTAAAATGGTTGACACGATCTCCAACAGTTTGGAAGAGTTTTTGCTTCCAAGTGTATGGACACATGATCGTATGCATTATAGCAAGAGCATGGCGGATGTGAGACATGATTTTTATTAATATTAATATTTTTCTCTTTACTTTTTCGTAGCTGGCGGCATGACTTTCTGACAACCGTGTGGATTTGTTCACTATCAAAAAAATATAGTTTAAACCCGACAAAATTACGAAATGAGGAACATATATGAAAGGTTTTGTCAATTGAACATGTTGGGTTTTTTTTTTTCAGTTCATCAGAAATGTTGTGGAAATTAAATAATGAAGATCAGTAAGTTATGTGTCATACGGGATACACGCTTATGGGATGATGTTTCTTTTGATACATGACTGACAAGGTAGATTTCCCCACCCAGCAGGTTGCAGTAGACGTT